TAGTTACGATAGAGCAGGTTCTGGTAGCTGAGTGAGCGTTCCCACTCTGCCTCCATCCTTTGATTACTGACTTCTTGGGACTATTTTCAGCGTAACACCCAGACTTTCTGTGTGTCTGTTTGTGGCAAAATGAGATGACCTGGGGACACCCACCGTGCTTCAGATGTGGTCTTGCATAATGCTTGTTGCAGAAAAATTCCCTGTGTTATTCATTCCGCCCAACAGCTTGACAAATAACATCTGTGCATGCAATCACCTGCTCTAATTTGCTTCTGCTGTTGCAGTTGGTGACAAGGCACCAAGTCACAGTACAGACGCAGTGCAAAACAGAAATAATGGAGTCTTCTGTACTGAATGAAAGAGCTGTGAGTTTGGTCTTTCAGACTGTGCCTCTCTTTTAATGTGTTCATGCCGACTTAGATGACACACCATAATAAGTGAGATCTGTTGAAGTTATCACGTCATGTCTCTCTGTCTTCACTTTTCTAAGGTTTTTCCAAACCTCAGCTGTTTAATATTAATTTTTACTTACTAGATCTGTAGCTCAGCTGAGTTTTTTAGGAAAGAGGTCAGTTATTTTCAAAAATGAGCCTAGGAGAAACACATTATTTTGCCCATGCAGCCATCTTCCTCCCTCTCTCCAACCCATGTTCCTGTGCTTGATGTATGGTCTTGAAAGATGGTGGTGATGTGATGGCTAGAAGTTTTTGTGTTAAGGACATACCTTCTGCTTTCCATGTTTAAAATCTCTTTTAGCTTAATCTTTCCTTGGGGGATAGAGGAAAGGTCACAATTCCACACATGTTCAGTTGTGGCTATTTATTTTTGACACTCAGTTATTCTGAAGGTTTGACTCCCTTGTTGAACAGGAAGATGGTTCAAGAAGCTGCATTTTGGGAGCACCGAAAAGAGTGGCAAGGTATGAGGAGGCGCTTGGACTGCGAGAAGCTCTCGGACGCTGTCACATAACAGCACTCGTGGCTCCTGTGGAGGAAGAATCAAACATCAAGGGAACAAGAACTGGTAGGAGTGGAGGAGCCTGCTGTTGGTAGGGAGGTAAGGGAGGAGGTGACTTCTTGTGACACTGGGAAGAGACACAGAGCCAGCGGGAGAAATGGAGATGACGTGAGAAGAGAGGTAGATAATCGTGAGGAAACAAAAAGTCTGCAACAGAGAAGAAGATGCGGGAAGAAACAGGAGCTGGTAACTAATCCGATAGAAGAAACAGAGGAAAAAGAGGGAGAACTTTATCCGCAAGGAAGCAGTGTGCAGCAGGAGAGCAGGAACCAGCTGAATAGCAGGCTGTCCCCGTGTGTAGAAAGGCAAGTCCTCGACTCAGTGATCCCAGAGGTCTATTCCAACCAAATCGACTCTGTGGTTTTGTGAATAAAGAACAAGGGGAGGGGAAAGCAGGAGACTGAGCTTGGGTCACGGAGACCAAAGCAGATGAAGAACATGTTGTGTGTGATATACTGCAGGTAAAAAAGAAATCAATCAAGAGAGGAACCGTGGGAGTACTGGCACTAGGTGGTAAAGAAATCAAAGCTTGAAGTTATGGGGAAAATACTAAGAATGAAGTGAAATGTGGGGAGATGAAGCTGTGCGTGCAGTATCACAGAACAGAGCTGCCCGAAGAGGAAGGCTGCGCTCCTGTCACCGTGGGTCTGCCGCTCCTCTGCTTTCCGTCCGCAGGGCTTGTTGAGCTCTTCCATGAGCCAGCTCAGCAGCAGCTGGCAAGTTGAATCTCCCAAAACCTACAAAGGGGTTTTGGAGTTGGGGAGGGGGTGTGAATGGGGGCAGCAGTATGACCTTCCCCACGTGGCAGCAGGGAGCTGTTAAACCTCCGGACAGGTGAGACCCGCGTAGGTGAAGAGGGGCAATTTGAAGCCGAGAGCCCGCTGCAGAGAGGCAGGACTGCGGTAACAGACTGGGAAGAAAGGGTCAAGTCAGAGAGGAGAAGTTGGCAGAAGAATCAGCCTGTTAGAAATGTTCCTTCTCAAAATGCTGAGAGGATCCATGATTTTTTGCAGTCTCGCCATTTATTGCTGTCAGCAAAAATGTGTAAAAACCAGAGGAAAGGTGCAGATTTGTATGGCAATAGTACATAAACAGCCATTAGTAATTACTAGGTGGAAGAGGTTTTTGCGGTAGGCCTAAAGGCTCTGATTATGCTGATAAGTCTTGATATAATTTGAGCACTGTGGAATTTCTCCCTTATTTAAAGGCCTAGGAAATCACGCATATAGGAAAATAATGCTTTCTTAGAGCTGTAAAATAAAAAAATATGAAATGTAAGTGCAGTCTTAATTTGTTGCATTTACAAATGTGCACCATTATTTTTAATCAGTGTCTCTGCTTTAGACAGAATAAAGAATGAACAGTATGAAAAGACCTCATGAATATTTTGTTTCTCATCCTAATTCTGTGTCTTACTGTGCCCTATTCAAATTCTGACCTGAGTAACTGTTAATTTCCATAAGCAGTCTGTGAGTGATCTCCTGTAGTGAGATGCTTTGTTTCATACAGACATTAAATTTTCACTGTGTTCTGCATACAGAGAACTGAAGGATGAGAGTTTAAAAAAACAAACGAAAAAAGCAAAAACAGAACAGAAGACCAACAGCCCTCCCCAAAACCCACTTAGCTGGACACGTTTATATATTATTAACCTGGCAAAGCACAATTCCATATTACTTTTTTCTGTGTTCTACCAATTTGTAAGACCCCAGGAGTTGGGTAGCGCTGCTGAAGAGTGTTGTGGAACGCATGGGCTGAGTCTGGCCACATCCCCAGAGCTCTGCCGGGTTCCAGAGGCAAAGCGCGTGCGTCCTCATTTTCCAGGGCGGTGGTTATGTGCCTTTGCAATGACATTGTCCTTTCCCCAGTGCACTTGCCCATCGTGCCCGCGCTAGACGTGGGCCAATTTGTAGGTGTGGTCCATCCTGTTTGCTGGAAAAAGGTTATATGTAATATTACTAATTTCCTTCCATGAGTTTACTGTTGAGATACTGTCTGTTGTTTAGCGGCTTTTGATGGGGGGGGTGGGTTCTGGTTTTTGGGGTGGTGGGGAAGGGTTGGTGGATGAAATGCAAACAGGTGCTGTGCAGGAATTTCACGGATCATTCTGACACTCACATGAGAGCAGTAGTATTGCCAGTCTGTGTCCTTGGTAATATTGAAAATGCTTATATAATTGAAAGTTTTGACCTTTTTTTGATATCTGTAAGTCTGTAGCTTTTGATACCTGGACATTTCTCCTCAAATGTCTTCTTTGAGCAAGCCATTTACTTGTTTAAACACAATATCAGATTAGCATAGCAGTGGAGTATTTGATATCAATTAAAAATATAACAAAACCCAATAAGCATGACCAAAAAAAAAAGAAAATAGTTGTGTCTCATGTGAATGCCATTCTCTTTCAAAGAGGCTTTCTGCTTTTGCATGAGAAGTTATAGTCTGGTTTGTATGATGTCTCAGGAGTTCCTGCTTAGCCAGCGTGTATTGTTTATTTCCCTGAATGAGATTCTCTAAAATACTGGGTATCCATGATTGTTTGCCTAACTTGGCAAAGTGTTGACTTCTTGCTTCTTAATTGTATTCTATATGTCAGCATTCAATAGCAGGAGTACCAGAGGTGACTGCAGACTCCAAAGGCTAGTGCAGAAGCCACAGCTATTATATCTGGACATGCTCTTGTCACAACTAAAATACTCATGGAAATAGGTTTAATATGGCTTTTGTGTGTAACCTTACAACACGTTTGAATTCTGATGTTTTGAGGCCGTGGCTACACAGCCACCTTGATCACTTTAAGTCTGCAGCGCAGAGCACGTTCCCCCGACTCTCAGCCTTCCTTGAGCTTGCCCTGACACTTGTATGGCTGCATAGAGAGCCAGGCTGTGGAACTGATGTAGCTTTCAAAAAAAAAATAAATCTTTTTTTCTTCTGTTTGTCTTCCAATAGATCAGTTTCTGTTCAGCAGCAACACAGCAGCGCAGATTCAGGCTGGATTAAAGTTAGCATGTAACCATGAGTTGACCCATCATCCAAGCATACCAGTGGGCAGGGGAATTAGGTTTGCTTTTCCTAGAGTTTGCTCTGTTTCTGTTTCCCTTTCATCCCTTGAAGAGGGGCTCATATCTGAGAGTGACCATGTAGACACAAAGGGTCAAATTCAGCAAAGTGGACTCCAGAGGTATGATGTCCCATACTGCATATCTGTTCTGTGGAATTTCTGAAATTTATCTGTGATAGGAAGAGGTTTTTTGCTTACAGGTTCCATTGGTGAGAATTTATGTATTGGCTTCCTTCAGCAATTTTCATATTGGCTTTTATTTGGCCATAACTCCCAAGCAAACAGTACACCAGCATCTGGGTGCAGTGACCTGATCCAGACTATTCAAATGTGAAGTTTTTGTTATATACCTGAAAAACTTAATCATTCTTTTTCTACCTTCTTTAATTTGCATTAGCATAATTAGAAGATGGATTTGCTTTCAGTCTTCCCCCCCGTCCCCTATTGCAACAGGCTAGGCAAGTTCTTATTTGCATCTTTAAAATATGCTTGGGAAAGATGAAAACAGTCTTTAATTGCAGTGCTGACAAACACTCTGAGCTTCCAGACAAATCTATTTTATATCAAAAATTTAAAGGTAGCTAACTATTTTATAGTAAATATTACCAATCAGTATGCAAGGTGCTTGTGAATTTTCTAAGAGTTACTTCAAATGTTAAAATATTCTCATACTTAATGTTTTGTATATTGTAAAGTAGAAATGGCTAAAATAGCATCTCTCTTACTATGATAATGTGGCTTAGGAGTTAATGGACAGATTCTGCAAACACTGAGCTCAGGACCTGATGTTGCATTCCTGTGTCTTGACATAAGTTGGAGCATTCATTGTAGAAGGTATTGCTGTTTGTGTTTTCAGGACAGAACTCTAAACAAGGTGTTCTGAAAACCTTTGCTTAAAATTGTGTGGGATTTGTTTTTGTTTTCCCCTGCTGCAGGTGTGATGGACAGGTAGCAGAAGATTTCACTTTGATATCAGGGAATCAGAATGACCGAGTGCTTCCTGCCTCCCACGAGCAGCCCCAGTGAACACCGTCGGGTAGAACACAGCGGGGGTCTTGCTCGTACTCCCAGCTCTGAAGAAATCAGTCCTACAAAATTCCCTGGTTTGTACCGCACTGGTGAGCCTTCACCACCTCATGACAGCTTGCATGAGCCTCCAGATATAGTATCTGATGATGAAAAGGAGCATGGGAAGAAGAAAGGAAAATTTAAGAAGAAAGAAAAAAGAAGTGAGTAGGCAGCTTCTCTTATTTCATGCTTAAAATTTCTCTTTCTCTCTCTCTTTCTCTCACAAAATTGCTTAGTATTCCCAATGTTTTTTTTAAACTTACTTAGGTGTGAAGGAAGTTTAACTTGTACAAACAGGCTTTGTGCAATACCTGTTTCTCTTCCAAAAAACCCCACACCTTAACAAAAAAACGGATTTGTTTTTTGTTGTGCAGATACAGGTACCAAGCACGTGCCCAGATTTACTAGTAAACGTGTTTATCCAAAACCTTTAACGATGCATTGGTAATTGCCTGGCATGGGGTTCTTCTAATCTCATTATCTGTGCACGTTCTGAGTGGAAGTTTCCAAGTGTGTTTCCAAATAGATGCTTTTTGAAATTGTAGCTGAGGTGCTAGCTAAAATAAAACTGTAAGTTTGACCTAAATTTTATACTTCTAAATTTGGAGGGGTCAGTTTCAACAACTTTAACCCTTTTCCTGTATTTCTCCTGTATTCAGAGTTTGCTGTTGTCTACCATCTCAAGTTTTCATGTGCACACTCTGCCATTATTTGAGGAGTAATAAAATCTGTGTCTTTTTTTTCCCTAGCTTCTCACTTTAGTCTGATCATGCAGTTACTTCCAGCAGTGCCAAAGTATTTTTGCAGAGTTCAAAAATGTGCAGGCCAGCATCGAGATCTGAGTTCACTAGAACCAACAGAGTAAATGTTAGAAGGAAGTAAAGCTTTGATTATAGAACCCCCTCTTTGTGAGCGTATCAATGTCCAGAATGGAAGTTTTCATTTAACAGGCATACCCCTGCTCCAAAACAATGAAGAGAAATCTTACTTCCCACCTTTAGATTTCTGCAGAAAATTTTGGAAACATGAAATAGTTTTTATTCAATAGAGTTTTTCTATATACTCTGAAAGAACAAAGCACTTGGAAGTACTAAGCGGATACTGAGCACTCTTAGTACCAGAAAGATCCATACTGTCCAAGTCTCTGAAACCTAAATATCACAGCCCAAACGCTAGTACTTTTTTAACTGGCATTTGTTTTAGCAAAATTTCAAAATAATATTTCTCATCTACAGTGCCTATATCTCTGATGCCTGGAAGTTCTGGGTCCACTTCTGGGTCTACTTCTTACATGTGAAATTTGGAAGATCAAAAACAATGAGACAGCGCGCAATATTCTGTTAGAATGAATATGGTGACTATTTGTAATATGCATGCACGTATTTAAATAATTACTATGTAAGAATTTGCTGCCACTGCACTGCTTTTAATCAAACCAGTTTCTTGAAATGCAGGAATTGTTTCTACCACACTTTAGAAGGACTGTTGTTATTTTAACTAAAGACAGTGTGCCTAAAGAATACTGTAAGTCAAAAATACATTATCCTCAAGTTGGTTTTAACAGTTTAAATTTCTACAGATTCTAAGTGATTCCTTAGGGTTTTTCTCAAATGTAAACAACATTAACCTAATACAGATTATTGGATTGGTGATGAAAACTTGGTACTGATTAGATAGGTCTAAATTCAGGCTATTGGTGGTTGGTTTTTTCCTTCTTGCCTGTCAGCTTTCTGTTGTAACTCTGCATTAGGCACCTCTAAATTTGGAATTGTTAGGGGACAGCTTTATACATAGTGGGGGTTTCTTTGTGGTGTCATTAGGCGTGTCTTGTGGTGAGAGTCTAACTGAAGGCTGAAGAGGAAAAATGCTTCTTCAGCAAATACATGCAGGTCTGTGCACATCAGCACTGTAACTGCTTTCTTCTGCAAGAGATTACAACACATTGGATTGCTGATGTAAAGCAATTTTTGTTATTCAAAAGAAGCTTTAAAGGTATGAAAAATCTTCAAAACCACAAAAGTGCAAAACGTAGGAAGAATCAAATTGTCTCTTGCAGCTGTAATGTAAAAAGCGTTCAGCATTTCTTAGCCTTAATGTAAGTATGTCATATAATTGCCAGTCAGATACAAGTTACATACAAAGCTTTCAGTACATCTCGTACAGTCCAAAAATGGTCATTATCGTAAATATACCCTGAACAGACATTTTACTTCCGTAAATGACAAGGGTTCTTTATGTTAAGAGTTCTCCTTCCAGCTTTGCCTTTAGTTATTCCTTCCATACTTTTGATTCTTCAGTTTCCTCTGCCTTTTAAACTCTCTTGCCTGTGTTCAGATTGTTTCTTCTCACTTTCCGGGCTTCCTGCTTTGATTTTGGACAATACACAACCTGCTATGGTCATGTAATATTGGGTTTAAACAAATACAATGGAACATTTCAATGAGATAAAGACAAGTGTTGACATTAAATTATGACAGAGTGAATGTTTGTTGAACTTGTAATGTTAGTGAATTAATGACAAGGTCATCCAGACTCCTGAAACTGTATGTAACTTGAATCCTAAAAAGATTTTGGGGTATGTTGACAATACTCTAAATGTAAACTTCAGAAATGCTTGAAGAGCAGGAAGGTGTGTGGAGAGGGAAGGATAGATATCCCAAGGTTACTTGTTTTAGCTTTTCAGGTAAATCCTGTTTGCGGGAGTAATGTACTCTTAGCTTCAGTATCTTTACCTATAGCAAAAAAGCATATTTGTATGCTAGCAAGGGATCTTTTTTCCTACATAGTTAATATAATGATCTGATATTTTTCATGTTAATGGCAATAACCTAATAATACACAGAAATTATCCTGGGGAAAAAGTGTTAAAAATGTTTTGGAGATGATAGAAAATTAAATGGAATATGGTCTTTTTATGTGGAATGTCAGCTGCTGGAGAAATGTTTCAGCCACTAATTTCTATTCTCCAGTCCTCTGTGATAGACTGTTGGTTAGCTGTGGAGTGAGTTAGATTAGGGGATTTACTAGGGATTAAAATTAATTTTCTTTTTACTGGGATAGTTTTAACTCACGTCTGTTCCCTGACTCAAAACATCCCTTGTCCATGCAAGAACTTGTACTGTGGCAGTAGGAGAGCCAAAACAGATCTTTTTTAAGCAGTAATGCTTTATATGAGACAGTGACCAGCGTGACTGATTTTTAAAAAGGAATGTTTAACCTCCTGTCAGTAGTGACGTGTTGATAAAGTTGTAAAATACGCAGTTTCTTGCAAAAGAAAAAGGTTCTAGGAAATACTTAAGAAGAAAAAGCTATTCTACCCATTAGAATTTCTGTAGGTGGTGTGTATGTAGTAGATGTTACTCTGCTTGTTTTACTTCTGAGATTGACACTGTTAAGACAGAATAGTTCAATGCAGCTAAGATTTTTTTTGTTTAGAATCATTTTCATTTTCTTTATATAATTCTTGGGAAAATGGAGAATTGGTTGAACTGTAAACTAAACAATCTTGTGAAAGGACAGTAGTGACATTGGTATAAACTCTTCTGAAACTTTCAGGAAATATTTTTTGAAGGCCAAATCCCTAATGTGTTGCGCAGGGGGTCCTAGATGATCTTTTGGGATGTAGATGAGGGCTGAAATATTCCTACTGTTAACTTGGGGCCCTGCTCCAAACAATCTTTGATCCAAACTGAGTGTTTACCTTTATCTTCTTCCTCTGAGTGGCTGAGTTGAGGTTCTGTTCTAGCGATCAGCAGCTGTCTGCGAGGTACCACCAGGAGAAAGATACCAGCCTGTTTTATCAGGGGTTTTTCTCCAAAATTACTTCTGATCAGAAATGTGGACATCCAGCAACCATGCAAAAACTTTAATAGTATTCCCAGCTGTTCCAGGTAGAGCAGTGATGTAAGTTGTCTCCGTGCTTATGATCCTTCATTTCTGTGCAGAGTGCTAGCGGAGATGGATTCTACAGTAGTGGTGGATACTACAGGTCTATAGGGGTGGTCTGGTAGAAATTGCGAGGAGACCATTGTCATCCTACAAAATAACCAAGTAGCTGCTATTGAAAACAAAACATTTTTCCTGATCTGGTGTGTAGAGAAGCTCTGAATACAGTTTCCAGATCTACAGAATAAGAAGTTACTAGAATTTTCTACCCGTGATGAGCATTAGAGGCTCTGCATGTCAAGGTTTATCTTTCTGTGTTGCTACATCCTATTCTACTGACCAATTAGCTTGTATACCTATATAGTACTGTGTACTTCTTTAGCAAAGTACCATTTGTGAACAGTTTAATGCCAGTTCAATGCCAGTAATTCTTCTAAATCAAAATAAGGTAAGGCAAATTTCATATTTCACTTCATTTGCTCTACTTGCATAGCACTGCACAGTAATCTGAATGCAGAATTTGTTTGGGAGAGCTGTGCTCACATCAGTGAGTTGAATGTCTATTAAAAGCAAACTGATCTAACTGGAAGTCAGCTAGTAAGTGTTGGTAGTGTCTGTAAGTTTGAAGTTTCTATTAATAGTAACAATACATCTGGTGGGTGCGGAGAGGAAACAAAAGCCATCTACCCAAGCTCATTATGCGTCCATGTGTGTCTCACCATGTTATTTAGAAACGGTATACAAGCTGGTGGCAATCCCTCTGACAAATCGAAATTAGATAACTAATGCTAGCATTGCACATCGGTCCGTATAGTCATATTTGACCTACTAATTCTGTCATATGTAAAAGTGATCCATGTTTTCTTTCAGTGAATTAATTACAGATGCATGCACATTTCCCCAGGGAGCCAAAATCAGATGGAGAGGTATAAATGACTTAAAAACTCATCAGAGACCCGATGCACAGAGTGTGTCTTGTGGTAGGTTTGATAAGTGGCAGTTCTACATAACGCAACCTTTTGTGTTAACAATAAATACTATAGCATGAATTTGTAGCTTCGTTGCGAGAGTGCAGGAGAAGTATTCCCAGGTATGCAGTCTGATAGAAACAGTGGCTTCGCTGCATGACAAAGCTTTTTTAAGCCTGTAAGTTAGATTTTTCCAGAGTGACACTGGAATTTTTTTTAATTATTACTATTTTTAAAAGAGATTTTAATAATTTTCGGTAAGATAAGGGCTATACTTGCAGCATCACATTTAAAGTAACTGCAGTGAAGGCATGCTTGTGGAAGGTCTAATGAAACCCAAGCAAGGAACTGGCAGATAGTCCAGTTGTTATGCCGGTGGAATTAGAGTATTTATTGCATTAGTTCTGGTCTCATATAGATGCAGGAAAATGTCATTGACATATATTGGAGTGATGGGAAAATGCAGACTGTTAATACTTGAAGTCTTGAGGAAACAGTGAACAGAAATACCAGTTTACGAACAGTAGGTAATACTTCTTTCCACATTTAAAATTACCTGGTTTATCAAGTGCTTTCAATAATTTTTCTTCTGTATAAATGTAGCTTGTTTATATTTGAATATATTGCATCACTGGTGAAAGGGATACAGTAATTTTATTACCAGAAGTATGGCAAAGAAAACTGGGCTACTCTGAGAGACATACAAACCCCTTCTTGGTATGGGTGGGAGATTCTCCAAGAACCTGTAATTAGTGTATATTTCTAAACTTTGTTGACTTACGTTACTGAGACGAATTAAGAGAGGCTAGTTTTGTATTTAACTTGCTCCTTCATGTCTTCTCATGAAGTCAAGAAATACCAGTTTCAGTCATGTGCTGTGGCTGGTGTTACCTTACCACGGATGTACAAAGGCCCCAAGGTTTCTGTTGCAAGAGGGAGTGTGGAAAGAGGTAAGGCAGGGGCTGTGTTTGGTGGTGGAGACAACCGCCCAGGCTGGGTCCCCTGTGCTGGCCTGGGGACGCGCTGACCCTGTTCCTAGTCTCGTTCGCTGTTCGGTTGGGAGCTGTTCCAGCTGCCCAGCAGGAAAGACTGAGGGCAGATTGTCCTGGGCTCTGGTGAAGGTTTGGCTTTCTGTTTGGAAATTACCTCTGTCAGCCCCATCTCGAAACTTGGTGCCGGCCCTGTCTCATGCTCACCAAACACGGCGGTGATGTGCGCCCCTCCTTTGTCCCATAACCGCTGCATCAGCAGTTCTTTCGTTATCAGAGTGAGATTTGAATCCGTAGTTTATGCACTGCAGGTTTCCTTACCCATTTCTGGTCTTCATTTACAAAGAGAGTGAATGATGGTATAGCCAGTAAACTGCGAGGATGAGCCCTGGTTGCTGGTTGTCCTCCGGTTAACATTTGTGTTTCTATATTAAAATTCACTTGGACAGGAACAGTGCTACGGTCTTTCTCCATCAGTCCTCTATGAATGTGCATGTTTGGTGGTTCTAGGGAAGAGTCCGGGATGGGAAGGGTGAGCTGGTCCCACAATTGTAATTACTTTATGGCATTTCCATGCTTTAATACATATTTATTTGACTATTAAAAGCTACCATCTACAGAGCAGCCAAGGAGGCTTCAAAATACAGAGAGCTCCTTGGATGTGCAGAAATAATGCTGAGAATCTCTGCAGCTTAGTATAGTTTAGAATTGGAAGAATAAAAGACTGACTGTCCCCTGGTTCTTTTGCATAAGATCTTTCACCTGTCAGAATTACAGCCTGTAATCTCATCCGTGATGCTTTCTCTTACAATCTAAGGGGGTGATTTTCCACCACCCAAAACTATTCACGCGGGAAGAGCACTTGGCTGTCGGTGTGCTTCCTCATGCACTGCCTCGTGAAGTGAGGAAGGAGCCTCGAAGGATCTGTGTAAGGGGGGCTTCACGCTGAAGCAGGAGTTTGCTGCGCGCTGCCGGGGGGGACCTGGCTGGTGCAAATGGCATGTAAAATGGTGTTTTTGTTGGCCAGGTTTCAGGCTTACTTTTCTTATATGGGGTACTGCGGCTGTAAAATCACGGTTCATTGACTTGGAAGTTGTGTTGGTTTGTATGTGGTTGGGTTTGGTTGTGGGTGGGTTTTTTGTTGGGGTTTGTTGGTTGTTGGGTTTGGGGTTTTTTTTGTAATCCACCTTTAAAGACTTGCTTGTTCTTGCCTGAAGGACAGGCAGGGCTAGCTGCAGAGGCGTAGGTAGCAAAAGCACTGGTGCAAGTTTTAGACGGCACTTGATGTTTTGTGCTCCGCCCATGGACTTGTTTGAAGCTCTCACATACGCTTTTTAAGGCAAATACGCACCTTCGCTGTCAGGTATTGTGCTAGTGTTACTGGAGTTGTTTTATTCGTCTAGTGGAAAAGTAAGTGTGCTTGGGCTTTTTTGGTTTTTTTAGTTGAGGCTGAAACTTACTTAACTTCGTGCTTATCTTAAAATGTGTAATATTCTGGAAAGGGATTGGGGAGGTAAGTGGCTGAAGTTTTGTTTGTTCTTAATAGAAATTTGTTAGGCTTATGTGTCTGTGGTAGATGATCCTTAACAGCGACTCTTATACTGTTGATTACAGGAACATAGAGAAGTTGGCAGACAGTTGTTTTTATTTTGCATTTCCTTGACTATTAGATGGGAAACTAGCCCATAAGATGGACATTGCCATTATGAGTAAGTATATAAAGTGTTAATTGTTTAGATCGTTCAGGAGCTGTGTGGCTTATCTTTGATGTGACTGTGCAACCTTGGTTTCATCCTTGTCCACTTAATTGTGTAACAACTAAAGAAAACCTTCTGAAGAGTCAGGCAGGCGCTATTTTTTTAATTCGCATTGCTGCTTCTCTCTCCTCCTTACGTATTACTTCTTGTTCTCTCCCCATTACAATATGCTGTCTAGAAACTAAACAGACTTACAGCTGTCCTCTTGCCTTCTCCTCCTTTGCCTAATAGCGGAAGGTTATGCTGCATTTCAAGAGGACAGTTCCGGTGATGAAGCTGAAAGTCCTTCAAAGTTGAAGCGGTCCAAGGGAATACATGTCTTCAAGAAACCCAGCTTTTCCAAAAAAAAGGAAAAGGATTTTAAAATAAAAGAGAAGCCCAAAGATGAAAAACACAAGGAAGACAAACATAAGGAAGACAAGCATAAAGAGAAGAAGTCAAAAGACTTAACGGCAGCAGATGTTGTAAAGCAGTGGAAAGAGAAGAAGAAAAAGAAAAAGCCAATTCAGGAGACAGAGATACCTCAAGTGGATGTTCCAAGTCATAGACCCGTGTTTGGCATTCCCTTGTCTGATGCGGTAGACAGGACCATGATGTACGATGGCATCCGCCTGCCAGCAGTTTTCCGTGAATGTATAGATTACGTAGAGAAGTATGGCATGAAATGTGAAGGCATCTACAGAGTTTCAGGTACTCTGGGCACACTGACATGCAGGTTCCTAAGGCCTTTACTTGCAATTTTCATATTATTTTACCATTTTCAACACCTAGAGACTCTCTTTATAGCTGCATTAATTTTAATTATCCAAAACACAATCAGGTAGCTGAAGTTAAGCAAACCCGTAGGTCTGAAGTACCAGAAAAGTTGCTAATACGGTGTTACTGCTTAATGGCAGTAAAAATACACTTGTTTTGGCCTTTTCTGATAGGATGGTAACGATGAATAAAATGGGTTAGTACGGCCAGCTTGTATTTTTTTACTTCTGTGCTAGAAATACAGTGCTAGTTGATTGCAAAAGCAAAGATGAGATATAACCATTTTATTACCTAAGCTTCCCACTAAGTTACTTTTTCCAGTTACTTCCATTGTATGATTTTTTTTTCTTAAAAACTTCTTTTCTTTGAGCAAATACACTAATAAGCATAATATACAAGTTTCACTAGTTAAGCTTAGCAACAGCAGGCTAATTAACCGTGGTAGTTCCATAACACCAGCTTACATATATGAAACATCTGTTTTAGTCAGATTAAACAAACCAGTCCCTTTATTTGTGAAGTGCATCTGCACTACAACTTGTGTAAGTACTTCTGTGGGTATGTTTAAGGGAGCAAGAACAAGTGAGAAAAGGAATTTGAGGAAAAGCATTTGAAACAAGTTGCCTAGCACTGTAAAACGAATCAAATGCTTTTAAAGGCTTCATTAAGCTGTCTTCATGCTGTCGCTCTGCATGGTATTTGGTGGGCATGCATAAATACCGCAGCAGCCTAAATAGTTTCTTCATCTTGCCTATTGGAATGCTCTGCGTGGTATTTGGTGGGCATGCATAAATAGTTTCTTCATCTTGCCTATTGGAACATTCTGGTTGCATGTTTTTTCAAGACACGATGTGTTGGGAATTTTCACGGAAGAAGGTGTGTTTTCTGTAAATCATTTCTGAGGTTTGTACTTGGCAGGTGTTCGCTCCAGTGCAAGAGCACCCTCTTGTGCGAGCAAGGTATTGTTTAAATTGAGAGCTCGGGGAGACGACTGCCATGGCTTAACCACCTACTAGCTGTTGTGAAGGCTAACTTATTTGGACATGAAGCTGAGCATATTTTACCTGGCATTTACCATGGGCTGAGTGAACCCAGTTCTGCTTATTGTGTATGAGCCAAGCAGTGGCAGCACATTAAGTCGGTGTAACTCAAGTGGGTGTTTGAGCTTCAAGAATGAAATTTCCCCGAGATTGGAATGTCACTGAGTTACAAAAACACCCTACAGAAAATCTTGGCTGGGTTGAATAATTATGTGAACACACTTTTATTCATGCAGTGCCTCAAACCAAGAATCCTGTGTGAGATTCCTCCGCTGAGGAGGGCCAGCTGGAAATCTGCAAACTAAAAAGCGTGCCTTTTGTTTTGACCGAGAAAAGCTGTTATAGGCAGAACTTGTTGCACAGTATTTGAATTGATAACGTTTGCTGCTTGGCTTAGGGCTGTATAACTGAACAGCCAGAAAGATGCGGAGTGCAAATACGCAATTGATCTTAGGTTCCCCGACCCTTCCCCACCCTGTTTTATGTTCCTTGATGCAAGGGAACGTTGGCGCCAGTTCTCATTCAGAGCTTCGGCAGTGCCCTGGTTTTGCTTCATAGCAGTAGTCAGTGCGCTTTTAGAAGCAGTGATCAGTGACCACGTAATTCTGAGTCACAATTTTAACTTTGTTACATGTGGATAACTTTTAAAAGGTATTCCTCAATTAGCCTAAATTGTAAGGAGAGGTGAAATAAATGCATCTCAAAAAAGAAAAGTTTAAATATCACTGTTATACATTTACAGTTGAAGATTTCTCTTATTTCTTGATCTAAATATTTTAAGGAATAAAATCAAAAGTTGATGAGCTAAAAGCAGCCTATGATCGAGAAGAATCTCCCAACCTGGAAGAATACGAGCCCAATACAGTAGCCAGCTTGCTGAAACAGTACCTGCGAGAACTGCCTGAAAACTTGCTTACCAAAGAGCTAATGCCTCGCTTTGAAGATGCTTGTGGAAAGAGCACGGAAGCTGAGAAAGTTCAGGAGTGCCAGAGGTTGCTGAAAGAGTTGCCAGAATGTAACCACCTCCTGATTTCTTGGCTGATTGTGCATATGGACCATGTTATTGCAAAGGAACTGGAAACAAAAATGAACATCCAGAATATTTCTATAGTGCTCAGCCCTACTGTCCAGGTACGTGTGCCACACAGCAAGTGTTAGAGCAGAACTTCAGCCCAAGAAACACTTCTTTGTAGGAATTCTGTTGCAGGCGGGAATTGGGTATTGTCTGATACGGCTAAGCTAAATTACAGCTTCTCTTTATACCTCAGGAACCTAAAATGCTGGGAAAGGGGGAACAAAAGACTTTCTGAGTGTGAGCTTGTGTAGTATGGGGCTGATACTTGGGTTATTATGAGAGTATTACAAAGACTGCTGTCAGGGTTTTAATCCTGTTGTGAACAGAAGTAATTTAATGTGGAATTTGTTCAATAATTCATGCAGATGCATATTTTGTGGGGGCTTTTGATTCAGTGGTAATTTAGTGAAGACTATATTGCTGCTTAATTTTAATATCAAGCCAATGAACCCTGCCCTGCAGATGGATCTTCCTGGTGCAGTAATGACTTCGGTATACAGGCTTTGGTGTCGCCAGTCTGAGAAATGGCTGGGGAAAAACATCTGACTTTTAGTTTTCCATTAAGATTGTGTGGTTTCTGGATTGCTTAATTCCTTAATAAACATCTTGGAAATATTTAATTTAAATATAGCTCAAAATTAGTCCTGTGCATAATGGAAACATGGCATCATTGGGGGTGGGGCTTCTAGAAGAAAACCCCCACTTTAGAAAAGCTTGCCTTTATAATTAACAGTCTAGGTGGATGCCTAGTAGCAAAAGGGCTGGGTGTTACTCTTGGCTATTTTACTGTGCCAGACACTCTCTAGCTAACAAAGGAAGGAGCAATTAATGTAAAACAATGCAGGCTCAATCGTGTTTTGTTGTTAAGTAGATTTTAGCAATTAAAATACAGGTAGTGACAGAACTCTCATCTTTCTTTCAGGATAAATTTTTGAATTTTAATGGAAGCTGTAGTATCCAAATAAATACTTGCTTTTGTCTCATGTTAAAACAAGGAATACAGTAACAGCTCCTTTCAAACTACTTTTTCTACTATAGTAAATCATCTCAGAGAGAAGTTGTAGAAAATATTACAAGTTGGGGGAGGAGAGAGAAGGTAGCCAGCAACCAGCCGTAGCGCGGTATGGTTGGTGTTCCCTCTCACCCAACTGCCTTTACATGAGTAAAAAGAAAGATTTAATACATTTCTGTACCTACCAGTGATGGAAATAATTGTGGTAGGTTAAGACGTGAAAATTCTGAGTTTAGCCTGAAAAATGCCTCAGATGATAGACAGGCAAGAGAGACAGTGAAGTGCTTGCTTGAGGCCAGCACTGGGTCGTTTAAAGTATCGGTTTTTAATCCAGATTTTAATCTCTTAGGACAAACTAACATGACTAGGACTCACAGAAGGGCACGCTAAATGCTGTTGTGTTTCTGGAGAAAGATACTATGCTTCACAGATAAAGATGACGTGAATAAATCCTCTTAGCCAGTATTTTGTCTGCCCTTTCTTTGCAGATCAGCAACCGTGTCCTGTATGTATTTTTTACACATGTTCAAGAGTTCTTTGGGAATGTGACCCTAAAGCAGGTGACCAAACCTCTTCGCTGGTCAAATATGGCAACAATGCCAGCACTTCCAGAAACACAAGAAAGCATCAAAGAAGAAATCAGGCGACAGGTTGGCAGTTACCTTAGCGTTTTTCTGTTTTTATCTTTGCCCTGGCTTTTACACATTCAGTAGTAAATTCTCATAAGCTTGTAACATACTCTTTAATTCTGTCACAGCTCTCCCATCAGTAGAGACTGCTGGACAGCGATTGGTGATGCTATTGCCCGTTTGACGTGTGGAAAGTTGTTATGGTCTTGTGATGATTATAGCGGTGCCTTTCATGGATTGCTTTGCTATGTCGTTCAATACTTTTATTGCGGGAGGAAGGTTAGGAGAACCTGTTAAAGAGCGTGGTTTCTTTAATACTGCTTTTCAGCTAGTTCTAGATCATGTGCTGATGTATGTTAACAGTTGTTGGTGGTCGACCTGTCCAGCTTTGAAAACCAGAACTCCAAGCCTGTTGCCACAAAGCCAAAAATGTTTTTCTTTTCAGTCTGCCCTGCTGTGATACATTAAAGACACTGATTTCTTTGGCAATATTTCTAGGAGTTCCTACTGAACTGTTTGCACAGAGACTTGCAGGCAGGGATAAAAGACTTATCCAAAGAAGAGAGACTCTGGGAGGTGCAAAGAATTTTAACAGCTCTTAAGAGGAAACTAAGAGAAGCTAAGAGACAGGTGGGTAACTTTTCTCTTTATTAGCCAAAGACCTAAATCACAACTCCTCGTTTGTGACAGTGCAGAGGCACGACTCAGATCAAGCCACATTTCAGTCTTTTACTGCAGATTTTTTCATCTTAAGTTTACATGGATGACGAGCAATTGCATTTTCTGGTTAGCTGGCTCTCCCTAGGGACAGCAAGATCTTCACACTCCTTCACAGCTGTTTATATAAAAAAAAGTATGATTAAAAACTTAGCATTTGCCAGAGCATCTATTTGTTATATGCTTAAAACAATCTGTCCTGGAGTACCAGGAGGAATTACTGGAAGGCTCAAGGTTAAAAAAAATGCTTCTGAAGTTTGTTACCCTGTCATATGTCTCAAAGAAGGGACAGGCCTTGCTGAAAACTTTCACGACAACTGAGGTGACTATTCTAAATTTGGAAAATAATACGTTTCCCCCCCCCCCAAAAAAATATCTTTTTTACAGTAAACAAAGTGAATGGGAAGGTGTTTTTTTAAAAGTTGTTCTTTCTCTGGCAGGAGTGTGAAACAAAGATTGCACAAGAAATTGCTAGCCTTTCAAAGGAGGATGTCTCCAAAGAAGAAATGAATGAGAATGAAGAAGTTATAAATATTCTGCTTGCACAGGTAGATGGCAGGCACTTACCTCTTTGTCTGCTGGCATTTTCTTGTTCCATACCTTTCCAAAATACTAAACACCCTTTTGTTCCTTCTCATGCAATGGGAAATCGAAGGCTTAAAGGGCTCTCTCTGTCCAGTAAAATACAAGGCTTTGTTTTACTGGTCAGTAAGGTAGGGAAGGAATGCAGGAGTGACCCAGGGCCCAGCAGACTCACGTTAACAGCGGAACAGACACACTGTGCAACCAAAAAAAAAAAGTAGCCTGTGCTGTTAATGTACTTGGCACTTCTGACTCTAACCAGTTTTAATACCGTTAAAAAAAAAACAAAGGAACTAATGCAACTATTTTGGCCTCTTTACCTTCCTTTGCTTCCCTCAGTAGCTTTGGTCTTCTCTCCACTGTACTTTCCTCCTTATATTCCTCTTCAAAGACATACTGTATAATTGTTTTTCTGGTTATTTTACTGGTTAGCCAGAGCTTTCCCTCATGATTTCAGGGAACAGGCAGCCAAACATGCCAGCATTTGGCGTGTCACCTCCACCACTGTTCCATACAGCGATCATCTTGGGGCTTCGGAACAGAGACATTGTTGGGTTTGAACTTACATTTGCTTTGAGGTCTTGATGAATCAGAGTTCAAAGCAGGCATGCTAACCACTTCTACTAAGTACTTCAGAGAACTGCACCATCTCATACTTATCGTATGTTCCTGTAGAAAATGAAGTCAAGGCTTTAAGTGAACTAATTGATCTTCGCAGGAGAACGAGATTTTAACAGAACAAGAAGAACTGCTGGCCATGGAGCAGTTTCTGCGGAGACAGATTGCCTCCGAGAAGGAAGAAATAGATCGCCTTCGAGCAGAAATAGCTGAAATACAAAGGTAACAGGGAGACTGCTTACACCAGAGCCCCCGCCAGGCGAGCACTCTTTGGTTAAAAGTTCGTATGTGCTCTTCTGAAATAATACTCTAAACTACACTTAAAAGCTCAGCCTAGGAACATCACATTTGAAAACCGCCTCTTTTTATTGAAATTTTAGCAACTTTGGACCTTTCCGTTACTGGTATTTTCCATTAGTGTAACAATGGAATTATGATCTAAAGGAAACTAGGCCCTGTGCACTAAAAGAATCCCCCTAGGAAATCACTGGTTTATTAAATTAAGCTTTGAAAGGAAGTTCTGATTTTGCTTTGAAAACCATTGCAGATTACTCAGTGGATGTAAGTTCACTCTTTTACACTGCTACAGTTGTGGCAGGCTTGAGGAAGTGTTTAACTGGGAGTTTGTTGTTGGTCTTTCAGTCGCCAGCAGCACGGCCGAAGCGAAACCGAGGAATATTCTTCTGAGAGTGAAAGTGAGAGTGAAGATGAGGAGGAACTGCAGGTCATCCTGGAAGATTTGCAGAGACAGAATGAGGAACTGGAGGTAAGACTGGAGTCTTAGTATTGACTGGTACTCTCCTCCTTGGCGGTTACTTGATTTTGTCTGTGCAGAGATGGTTGCACGAATGCAAAGTGGTCGTTTTGCACCAATTGTCCCCAGGCATAGAACCCCCCAGCCCTGTTTTCACATCGCTGTTGTGTGCAAGCCCACGCTGCTGTCTGGGTCAACAGCAAGGCACCAGTGTGCAGTGCTCAATGCCCCCCGCCTCCCTACAGCACTTCTTTGTCAAAAGGGGCCCTGACATTTGTTTTCCTTCCTTACAAGATAAAGAACAATCACCTGAACCAAGCAATTCACGAGGAGCGAGAGGCCATCATCGAGCTGCGGGTACAGCTTCGCCTACTGCAGCGAGCTAAATCGGAGCAGCAGGTGCAGGAAGAAGAGGAGCCAGAAAAACGCGGGGCTGTTTCTCAGCAGCAGCGAGATGGGGTCCTGGAGACAAAAGCAGCCAAAGAGCAGCCAAAAGCAAGCAAGGAGCAGCAAGTCAAGCCATCACCCAGTAAAGACCGGAAAGAAACTCCAATCTGATCAGGCTCCTGGAGATGCATAAAATCAACTGAACTGTGCAAATTACTGTAACATGAGTCAAACTGCACAAATTATTGCTGGCTGTGTACATTCTGTAAAGAAACTTCTCTTCTAAGCCCTGGAGACTTTTGTCTCCTATACTTGTGGCTTCTGCTCATCAGACTCAGGTGAGTTTGGAGAGGCCAGAAGAGTTTTCCAGTTAGCATCAGATTATTTCACGACTGGTTTCCTTCAGGTGATTTAAAGTAATTCAGTAACAGTTTTATTTTAAACCAAAATCTTTACATTCATTGGAGCAGTATTGGAAGATCTGGTTTTTTCATAAATAAACAAAAACCCACCCCCACTTACTAATAATTTGCCTTGTGAATCTGTTCATCCTCACTCACCATTACTTCTGCTTATTAACCTGGTCACTTATTGCTTGTGCCTTTGATGCCTTTATGATGCAGATCATCTACAAGGGAGCTTTAAATTTATTCTGGGTTGGCTGAAAAGTTGGGAGCCTGTGGGGTATTGGGTTTACCTACCATGCCCTTAAGCTTCACTTCTGTTCCGAGATGTACTGAATAAATGTAAAAACTCAAGAGATGTTATTTATGTCCCTGTATGATGGAAACGTTCATGTCTTTTAGCGATGTAGGTAACCCATTTACTCATTTATAGACCACCATCATCGTACCTGTTTAAGGCAGGCTGTATTCACGCTGCTCCCATACAGCCAAGAGCTTTTTCTTCATCCATTTTAAATGTTTTAGTCCCTCGGAGAAGCGCACCGACGGACACTTTAGGCAGCGATGAGGAGGGTTACGTCACTGAAGACAGAGCTGCCTGACCAAGCAATAGCGCGTTTCCCTCTGCGGAAATCAGAGGAGTCACTCGTGCTTTCCACACACGAATGATGCCAAGGGGAGGCACTGGGGGCTCAGCAATAGCCCCCGCTTTTTTTCTTGTTTAAAAACCAACCCTGCCCACCCAGGACTTGCTTTTGGCTGGGCCGTTCCACTGCTCCTGCCCTTCAGCAGCCTCCAGCCATGCTGGCAGGCAAGGGCCACGTCGTGTTTCACCTACACGCGTGAGACTTGGCCGTCAACTCGCGTAGTGACAGCAAACTCCGCAGAGTGCATACAGGCTATCTTATCTTTTAATCTGGGTATTTATTTTCAGCACCTGTTGGATGTGGTGGTATTCTTTATCTATTGCACTGTTGTGAATCATTGGCCATGATTTGATTTTGTACAAATAATGCTTTGATATGTTATAGAAAACAGCATAGTATTTTTTTAAAATTTGGGAAAAGAAGTTTATAAACACAGAAAATGTGGTCAGATGACAAATGTAAACTAAAGCATTCTCCCTTGCCTTCGTTACATACATTTTATATTTGCTGGCAATATTTAAACTTTTGTTTGTTTGTTTGTTTAATTCACACTAATTCCTATTGAATTGTCATGGATTTTTCTAATGTTCTTCAGACAAATCTCTTAATATTGGTTAACTTTTATTTTGTTAGGATTGTATTTATCAAGCAAATAAATTCAACAGCCATTTGAAAGTCGTTTCTAATTTATCTACTTCATAATGCAATTGGTAGTTACTCTTCGGTAGCTGCCTGCAGCTGAGAAGTTTATACGAAAAATTAATTCAGTTCTCTTAAGAGAACTGAGCTATTAATAGGAACATTGTCTGCAACTGAATGTCAGAGAAAGCTTCCAGCACTCAGCTAAAGATCAAATTTAATTTGATCGAATTAAAGATTTTAAGATTTTACTTCTCAATTACTACCAGAGATTTCAGTTGCGAAGGTAAAACCCGTCTTATTTATTCACTTCATTGCTTCCAACACATCACCACCATGCTTTTCCCAGCAACCTGAAGTCTTAAATGGAGGTGGAATTGCTGCTCCTGCAGCGATACAGCAACTGTAACCAGAAATGTAGTTTCAGAGCACCTGAAAGGCGTTTCGTTGAAGTTTTCTTTCGCATTCTTTCAAATGATACGTCCAACGACACACACAGTTATTCATAAAACTCCTGTAAAGCCGGCAGTTAAAGTCACAAGTGCGAGTCACTGCTG